AAATTCATTATTTCTGCTTTATATTAAGTTTGCTACTAGATAGGTTACAGAAAAAGTAATTTTTTAATACAAATATTTATTTTTCAATGTAATTCCTTTTCTTGTTAATAAAATTAGTTCAGTGATGAATATTGTGCAATGAAAATTCCAAATCAAAGGTCAACTAATGTCAAGCTATGATTGCAATAGACATATTTCAAATGTACAGCGAAAATTTCATAAAATGCAAATTTATAAGTTGCGTCTTTTCTTTTATGCTCATATTACCTCAATTTCTAAATTACTGAAAGAAATTTGGAAAATTTAAATCTGCTGTTAAAATTCACACATATATGTATATATATGTGTGTATGTGTATGTGTGTGTGTGAGTAAGTGTATATGAGTATGTATGTGTGTGAGAGTGTGTGTGTTCCAAAAGTACTGTCTCCTATTCATTTCTGGAAAACTACAAAAAATACAGGGAGTATATAGCGCTGTCGAATACAGTAAGTTTTCAGTTTCCACATATCCATCAATATTGTTTCAGCGTTTTCGTCATCGATGAAAAAAAAGCCAGTATGCAGTCTTAATATACTTGCTTGACACATACTTCGCTGACATCACTAGCTAAAAGTGCTCACAACAGTGTTTTGCCTCCGTAAACGTTCGTGATTAATATCAATGGGTTTGTACATTGTTTCCTGCCATACGTCATTTTGCCAGACTGTCGTTCATTTGCTATTTATAACAAGAGAAAATAATTATGGGATGTTGGTGGGAAAGTTTAATCTCAACTGCCATATTACTAACATCCGACTCTGGTGTCATGGGTAAACATAATAAAAAAGTCATCATTACTTTTGGGATTACCAATATGCATACACACACACACACACATATATATATATATATATATATATATATATATATATATATATATATATATATTATAGCGATTTTCACTGAGCGCACAGTTACTACACTCTAGTCTTATCGATGAATTACACTTGGCTCCTATATAGAGAGCACAGTTACTATTCTAATCTGAGGCAGAATTGACAATTCCTACGTAAATAACCCCGTCATTTTTTAAGGGATACTATGCTAGTATTGAAATAATTCCTTTTATTATCTTACGATACTAATTTCAAAAACAAAGGACAAAAGTTTTCTTTGTGGTTAAAATAAATTAAGGCGACTTTAGCAATTTGTTATAAAATTTTAGATGAAATAAAATGGTTAAACATTTGAACTAAGAAAATAATTTTCTTCATATTTTTATTTTTATATTTCAGGAAGTTCCCCAAGAAAGTGTCAACACTTACCGCAGTTTTATCCAGAAAATGTATGTATAAATTTCTTTGCAAATTTGAATCCCCTTTTTTCGAGCCTATTAGTTGCATTTGGACTCAACTAAATTCTGTTGTTTTTTAACTGCTCTAGTTGCACATAAAACAGAGGATAAAATCTTTTTGTGGAATCCTAATTCCGAATGTGTTTTCTGTGTCATTTCAAAGGTACTCAGAACCAGTTTTACATTTGAAACATATTCTGATCCCTGTTTAAATCCCTCAATGTGTGATCTTATTTTGGAAATATATTTTAACTCCGATCTGCGTTTTTCTTGTCGGCTGTTGAATGAAGACGCTAAAAGCACGCATCTGATGTCATCAATGCTATGAAACGGTTGGTTGAAATTTTAATTTTTCTTTTTTGCATTTGTAGCAGAAAAGTAAATATATAAGATTTGAACTGTCATGAGTCCGAATCGGTAGTTTGATTATTGTTCGAGTGCAGAGTGTGTGAAATTACTATCAGTAATGATACAGACTTGGAATTGAGATTTATAGCCAACTAAAAACAACATTCCTCCGATGAGTAAATCCCACTTTGATTATTCTTTGTCTCGTTGAAAAATGACCCGGTTGTGTCCGAAAATTCTGACTTTAAAATATTTCTCTTCGGGCTTCAATTTAGTAAAAATGCTAATTATATAATAAATATAACCAATTTTATAGCCAGTATTGTTATCATTTTGTTGGCTTTTTATTCCTCAAGTTTCATTAAGCAGCCTATTAAATATATTAAATATACATATTATAAGAAGCAAACGTTGCCCATCTTTCGTTTTAATTTTATATTACGTAAGCTATTATGGCCAGTAAAAATACAAGTATATGATAATTCAAATAATTTGACAACGGTTCCTAGATACAATTAAATAATGCTTTAATATTAATATGAGATTAGACTGAAATCAGTATGACTTATTAACTTTTTATTTACTATGCAGTTAAAGAATAAAAATTACGAATATTAAATATTATCATGCATTAAGTTTAGAATATTACAAAATTATTCAAAGAAAAACGGAGAAAATATACTTATATTTTCATGTACTCTTCTTAGCTATATATTAAGTTCTTTTGATTCGGCACTGATGTAAGAGGCATCCATTATTGCTACAATTCAGCTACATTGATAGGCTTTTGTCTGCAGATTTAGAAGATTTAGATTTAGGAAGAAAATTTATAAATGAAAAGACAGACATAATCATGTCATAATACACAAAAACATAAATATGATATATTTAAGGTAAGAAATATATATATAGGTGGGAATTAGATTTCACAAGTAAAAATTGGGCGAAATCAGAATTTTGATAAGGAAATTCTTCTTGGATTAGCTAAGAACTTTTCAGCAATCCCCCCTTACACACACACACACACACACACACACACACACACATATATATATATATATATATACCACCTTGGAAATTATACTCCGTATTCCAAAATAAACTTGAATATAATAAAAAATAAAGTTAATCATTTTAAAACAAGAATGTTATCTAAAAAGTGAGTTAAAATTATTTTAATGCGTTTTGCCGAGTGGGTTCTTTCAAAACACTTTTCCCAGAGGTTAAGTCATGGTCTAAAATAGCAGAATAACACCCTAAAATACACAAACTTTATGACCTACCAAAATTCACAAAGCAGCATTCCAGTGCGACCAATCATTTAGTGTTTCCCATAGATTGGCCATAGCTTCTTGGAACAATTAGTTTTTCAGATATTAAAAATTCAGGCAATCCAGTGGAATTTATGGAAACTTATGGGGATATGTATGACACAAATTAATGGCTGGTTTAGATTTATAGAATTTATACTAATGTTCCTGTCAACAAATGCTTAAACCAATGCTTAAATTAAAAAAATAAAGAATATAGTGCAATGAAAATTAACCTCTTCCTACTAATAGATAAAATTATAAAAATTTGCACACTCATCACAAACTAATATTATTTCATTTTTAACAATGATTCGGATTACCGATGAGATCACCTCTTAACGGAGTTTTAGCTTGTCTATATATTACGATATTTAGTTTGATTGTACGAGCTGTAGATACTTTTTCTGGTGCAAATCGTCATTGGAAAATACTTCGATATCTATTAAAACAACTGGTATTAATAAGATACACTTGCTTTGATTTATAGCTCTTTTTGAAATTTTATAATAATTTTACTATAGAAATGATTTTTATATTTGCTATTTTAAGGAAATAACTTAATTCATTACAAAAATGTTTCTCTCGAAAATTAAAATGGTGTTTTGAAGCAATCAGATAGCCAAACTTATGTACCTATTTAATTATATTACATAGTAGGATTTAGTGATGAACTTACGATGCTATACTTAATCATAACCAGTCTTATTGATATTTATTTATGACAGCTAGATTTTAAAGGCAAAATGACTGCGTGTGTCGACTTTAAAATCTGTCCATGCCGGACAAAACGAAAAGATTTTCAACGGAATTGTCAATAAAACATTTCAGTGTTTCTCTTTGTAGTTGTAAGTCACGTTATAGTTCTAATCAAAAGAACCCCAAATGTAATATAATTGAAAAATCTATACAAATTTATGAACTCAGCAGAATCAATGGCATTTTAAAGAGAGATAATGATTCATAAAACACCATTTGATGAAAAATTAATGGTTAGCATTTTTTAAAAATTGACTTTAAAAAATATAAACAATTTTAAATTTGCTTAACAGTTGTATAATTAACATAATTTATGATACTTTTTAAAAGCAACTTGTTTTCTTAGTTTCATGATTTTAGGAAAAGTTAAAGTCTCTAAAATTCAGCAAATTTTTCACTTAAAACTATTTGGAAGACGAGGGTTCAATTTTTGTCGATTTTATGTCCATATTTTGAATATTAAAATAACAGTTGTGACTATAGTATTAGAGAACGGGAAATCGTCATAAATATTTTTCCGAATAGAATAAATTAATAGAAAAATAAAAAATTGTTATTTGAGACACTGAAGCCACATGTTATCACTGGGTTTTCTACGAATTCAGACATCATTCGTAGATAAGCAAATATATGAAACCTGTTTCATTTATTTGTATATCTAATAAACACTAATAATAATATTGATAACAATATAGAAATGAAAAACCAACTCAGTAGTAAGTTCTTAATTTCAAACATGGGGATATTGTATTTGTAAAAATTTTATAATAAATTTATCATGATGAAATAATGACGGTAATCTTGTAGAGGTTAAAACTTCTCTTTCATAAATGTTGTTTTTAATACAAACAGTAAAAGAAAGGGACTTAATACAGTTTAATAAAATATATGTTTAATTTCAATTATGCTACTTACAAATTATTGATATTGAATTCTAACCACTATTTACTATTACTCTTATGTTACGCATGTTCATATCAGATGTTTGGTGGTTATCGCTTTCTCAATATGCTCACATGACTATAACACTACTATGGTCTGGATAGTTTTTTCTCTAATGTATAATTTAATATCAACTTTAATGTTTTTAATACTGATCCAAATGTGCCGACTAATACCAGAGAATGCTGAAAATTTTCGGCTCGACTAACTTAGCAAAATCTGACCAAATTACCAAACATCCTAATATTTTTGGTCAGGTCAAAAACCTTTCATCACTCCCTCATATCGGCACGATTCCAACACTCAATGTTGGACACTTTTCGTTGCTCCCAGGTAAGATCACTGTTTCTTTTTTTTTCTTCATTTGCATACTATCACCGGTACATCTATGATGACCCAGTCTTCTCGCCTGGATGAGTTTGTCGGTGTTTTTCTTTTCTGCGATAACCTCTGACTTGTGCTGATACCATTTGTTTATATGTCGCGCACACAGTTCCCACTATATAGTTATATATTCCTTTCGAGCTGTCTTGCTTCTTCACCTATAATGCTATCTAATACTATTATTATTATTATTGAGTTGAAGAGCAGCACGCCAACAAAGTGACACGAACATACAACTATACAAAGTTCAATATATCCACCATGATACCTATTCTGAAAAAGGGTATACCAGGCACATACGCGATATGGTGACAGAAGTGTGCATAACATTGCTTGTGAGACCCAACTAGAAATACCTTCAGGTTGAGTAACCCAGTTCACTCAAATTACCCCCGGTTGAGGATGTTCGCTACTATCTAGATGTAACTCCCAAGTCAACTTGACTGCCGAATCCTTCAAACTTAAAAATCCTAAGCCTTTCAACGCCCTACCATCATGTTCCTCAATTTCCGCTCATGAACAGAAATGCATACTGCATCATCCCTTAGGGTACATGTCCAACTGGTTATAATCAGGCAACGGTCAAGCAAATTTGTAATACTGAGCAGGAGATTTACTGTAACCAATTTTAATTCACCAAGACCAAACGTGTACATATTAACACTTCCGATCATTTAAGACCAGAAGCCAGGAGAGCTATGCTTTGGCATTATTATTATTTATTAATATTATTATTATTATTATTATTATTAGTTTTATTTTTGAAAAAATATCAAATACTTAATTCAGCTCAAATATTTCAGCGTAGGTTACATTTGTAAAAAGCATTTAATTTAAATTTTATGTCTAAATGGTTCATAGATCCTACGAAATATGTTTAGTGATGAAGAAAAAATAAAATAAATTTTTGAGCCAAATAATTCTTTCTGAAAATGCAGCCAAACAGAATAGGAAGTTTCCTTTCAAATTAAAAATTATACAAACTCATATTTGCTTCTAGAAATAAGTAGATGCGACAAAAATGCTTTTTTCTATTAAAATAAAAGTAAAATAAAAAAAATAAAAGTAATTATTTTTATTTTCTTAAGGCAATATTGTCACTTTCTAATCATTTCATCAAAATCACAATTATCAAAAGCTATTCTCTCAACATAGCCGATGTTGTACGCATAGCACAAGCCACAAACTCATCACACGTTAAGCAAACTTGAAAGATCTTATGAACTTAATACAAAATATGTCCATTTTCTAACGTGATAAAATTCGCTTTATTTCGATGTTTCAATGTTTCCTTCATGACAGGAACCAGTTAGATTTCCCCTTAGTGATTGTGTCCGGCTAATAAAAAGAGACAGACATTTTTTATGATCAGGAAATGAAATATTTTTGATTAGATTTTATCATAAAACCTGAAAGTTACAGAAGCTTTTCAAATTTGCTGTCAGTAAATCTTGATTGAAATTTTACTTTCCGCAAAATGTAGAATCGTCAGAGTCATGTGACTGGATTTTAATATCAACATCAAGTATCAATTGGGAACGTCCAATATTATATAATTGCATTTGTATGTTGGATGCATTATATCCAAAGTAATGTAAGCACATACACGTGAATACACGTATATCATACACACATAGATATAAACATGCGTGTTTTCATATAAAATATAATTAGAATTATTTAACTCTTACTTACAATTGTTGATAAGGTGAATATTTATGCTGTAGTTCTTATCTTTATATAAATTTCTATGGACATAATATTGTGGGTGTAGTTGGGCATGGAAATGGTTTATATATTGATACGTTAACGTAGGTACAAACATCAACGATAATTTTAATAATGATTGAGGGCATATTGATAAAAAATATACATATAGCCATAGATAAGTATATACATACACACACATATATATATATATATATATATATATATATATGTATGTGTGTGTGTGTGTATATTTGTATGTGTGTGTCTGTGCTTGTGTGTGTGTGTGCATGTATAAATGACAGCAGTGTACATAGGCTTAATTATTTATATGCAGTTATATATCTCGTAATTATGCGTGCCTGTTTTGCATATGCATCCACAAATGCAATTATATATGCATGCCTGTGTGCTTGTGGGTGAACGGGGGAATGAATACGCATGCATACATTATAAAGAAATGTTGGCCAGAGCGCTATATCGATTAGCTAGGAATATGTTTTCTCGCTCGACCTGCGAAATATTTCATCTGGGCCAATCTAATTGGGCAATATGCTTGGATACTTATACAAAACAAATGTCCCAAGTCTGCCACAGCAATTTTTGCCGCTTTTCTGCGTGCGCACGTGCACATAACGTGATCTTTGAGTGTGACAAGTCTATAGGCTTCCGCTTCAGAGGTGCGTGTGTGAATTTCCCCACCAATGGCAAGTTGCATACGTCATCAGAAGAATCGACCAGGCAGCGATAACGTCGATAATTTTACCTTATATGGATTCAATGGAATATGCCATTGGCTCGAGGATTTCTTGGGAAACAGCAACCAACGTTTCAGTTTTATTCAGCTGTTCATCAGCCTGGCAAATCACTCATTGAATTGCAAATATTATTTCCAGTGGCGATAGTTTGTGCAAAATAAGAATTCGGGTCAACGTGACTTTGAATGGGTGATGAGTTACCATATGCGTGACATTGTGTAGCTGTTTTCAGCTAACAGTTTGAACAATTTCATTACCTCTGAGATCTAGGTAGCTAGCAAGATATATATATATATATATATATATATATATATATATATATATATATATATATATATATATATATATATATATATATATATATAGAGAGAGAGAGAGAGAGAGAAATATAATCGTTTATGAAACATGATTTTATTTTAAATGAACTTATAAATTAATGAAATAACTTTGTTTCTTCTTTTTATAGATATGTAATGTCAGAGATAATAAGACCAATTGACTGACAAAGTACCAGAAGAATAAAAGATTCCTTTCAAAATTACATTAGGTATTCTACAACAGTTAATGTTGGTGGCATGATCATTAATTTTCTTCACGATTTGTTTCTAATTATTACCGGTTAAAATGTATGTTACAAAAATGATTCACAAAGGCAAATTAATTTTTATAGAAGCTATTCAAATGAAATAAGAAATAGATAAAGATAGCATTAATACTTAGTGCTTGTGATTATGATTGATTTAAATATATATATTTTATATATATATATATATATATATATATATATATATATATATATATATATATATATATATATATATGTATGTGTGTGTGTGTGTAGATGCATATTATTTATAATCTGCGGTGATGTCCTTTCCAACAAATTAAAAAAACATCTTTCTTGTACATCTGCAACAAAATGACGAGAGAAGATTCAACCGAGAGACTGATCAGCCAAACATAGATTATGAAGCTTTCAAATAAATCTCTCCGTGCTTTTGTTAAAATCACGTGAACTAGAATTGATTTCTATTCAGTACATACGAGAGGTATGACTGTAACGTTGAAACTTAATTTCATTTTACTCCCGAGTGACAGGCAAAATATATTCATTTTTAAGGGACGTTTTCTTTCATCGAACCGATAAGCTGTTGAACAAAAATACATAAAAGCGAGTAATAATTGTTTGTTTCAGCATTTTCATTCATTACATCAAACGAACTTATTAATCAAATCCAATAAAGGTATGTATATGTTTAAAATTCAGATGAAGTGGCTGCAAAATGACAACGACAGTCTTGCAATTTACAAAAAAAAAATACTTTCTGAGCCATCTTACCATTACTAATTTAATACCCGTAAATTAGAAAAAAATTAATACGAGTATATATGCGTGTGTGTGTCTGTGTGTGTTTGTGCCCGCGTGTGCACGAACGCGTTTGTGTGTCTGCCAGAGGGTGAAAGAAAGATAATAACTGTGTGTACGATAAAAATGTACAAGCAAATTGTTCGTTTTTGACCTGAGATGTCAGATCTTATACTAAGCATTACCAATCATGCAGGAAATTTCTTGAAAGACGCTCTTCTGAAAAGACTTTTTTGAGAAAGTAATAGTCATAAGTAATGTCAATAAGGAAGTTCATTTTTACAGACTCCTAACTGAGTTTATTTATAACCAGTCAAATACGATGCTTTTTTTTTGTAAACACAACTGCACATATCCACTGCTTATATATGTGTCTACTCAATGTCCAACAATTATAAGAACTGTATCAATGTTTGCAACTGTTACATATCTGTACGCAGGTAAGAAGAAAATGAAAAGCAAATAAACTTAGCTAGAAAATATATAATATATATATATATATATATATATATATATATATATATATATATATATATATATAATCAATACGTTCAGTATAGGCGCATTATATATTGTTTCTAACATTAGTTGGCCGTTTTATATTATGTTGGTCCCAAAATTGTATTTTTATCAAATCTAAATTACTATCTAAAAACTTTGTGCATAATATTGGGGAAAAAACAGCGGAATACAGAGAGGAGTAAGAGAAAAAGAAAGAGACAAAGATGAGAAAAGAATGAGGAGAGGAACTTGAAGGTCTCTTAACAACAGATAGTTACATTAAAAAGGAAAGTATATTTCACTTGCTTTTGAAAAAGAAAGAAATTGTCAATCAGTTTTATTAAAGTTCCTTGAAAAATCTCTTACTAATTACAAAAAGAAAAATCATGAATAAAATAACAAGAAATCGTGTGCAATATAAGCTAACTGCTTTTATAGTCTGTTTTGTTAAATTCACTTTAAAATTTTAGAATTTTTTGTAGTTTTCGACATAATTCGCCATATTATATTTATTCGAATATCACACAACTGGTCGAATCATAGATATCTCGAGTTAGTTCAGCATCCGCATTCATTTAAGATAATCTTATAAAAGAATTAATTCAGTAAACATTTCTCAGTCAGTCTTCATTTTGAAGATTGTATCATGTCAATATTTCTCGGCTGAAAGGTTAGTTCTCTAATCTTCCTTTGATTTCTTCCATTCACCATAGACAAAGGATATTGAAGTAACATAAAGTTACCGTTAGGTACCTTAACGTTTCAGAGGCAAGTTTTAATTATTGTCATGAACTGTGACGAATATATCACAGTAGACATAATAAACGAAAGTTTTTTCATTGCTGTCATAAAGAATGCTTCTAGCAAGTTTGATAAGGAATCAAAGTGAAATACTTGAATAGAAAGATTAAATTAGTATTTAACATTTTCATATTATTTAGTAATATTATTATGATTTATATAGCAAGCAATTGTTGATCATTTTTAATATTATAATAAATCCCGTTCTGAATATTCTAATGCATGTTTTCAAATGTTAATGTATGAAAATTTGTTTAATGTATGAAAATTTGTTTAATTTATCAATCAACTTAATGGTAAATGTAGATGTTTATGGAAGACGATGATATATACACAATATATATCAGAACAATGTTGGGTAATTGCATGACAAAATGGAAAAAATTGTAACAAGTGTCATCTTTTAAAAAAAGACTTCATCAGACTAAAGTAATGTTCTTATTGGTGCAAGTATGTAGACGTAGAGAGAGAGGAGGGAAATATAAACGATAAACGTCGGTTATACTTATGCACCGAGAGGAAACGATGAAGATGTAAGGACGCTAAATTTTAAATTTTAAAATTTCTAATGTCTGACGTGTTTAGAAAAAATAACTCAGCAGATTTCATTTTGTTTTGGGGAAAGTAAATGAAATCTGCTTTTGTTTTTATAGCTGTTGTTTTTAAATATCCAACACCGCGAAACACGTTTTAAGAATGGTGAAATATTGTATGAATCTCGACGCAAATTTACCGTACAATTCGCAGAAATCAGTGCAAGATATTTTAAAATTCGAAATTATGCTCAGTTTCATTACGCTCAATAACTAGCATTGAGTGTGTTGTTTTGTAAATGATCTCATTTCTGTTCATTTTTATTTAAATTCCTCCAAGTCTCTCCTAAGCATTTTTCTGACATTTCTTACAGGTAAATTATAACCGACGTTTTTCATTTATATTTCCCCCTCTGCCTACATATTTATAATTTCATCAATAAGAACATCTGATGAAGTCCTTGTGATGTTTTTTATGGCTTAAGACTTATCAACACTTTGTGGGTTATTTAAAGCCGAAACAAACTTAGGATGAAGTCCTTTTTTAAAACGCGTTACAATTTTTTTTTCCATTTTTCATTTAGTTACTCAATTTTATGCGTTTACAAACATGGAACGATGATGGAAAACCATAACATGAAGGAAAGAAACTGCACATGAATTTGTCGAAAAATAAATGTTCAGAAATGTAATATTCTTGATGAAAAATAAAAAAATGGCGATGGTGCCTTAATTTTCTTTAAAGTAACTCCTGTTGGGCTTTCATCTAATTATCTTCCTTTCCACGTTTAGAAACAGTTTGAAAGGCCCTCTTTAGGGATTGCTTTGTTACTTCTTAACCCTGTCCACGGTTTGAAATTTCTTCTTTTTCAATATCGATTTTTGGTTTTGGAAAAGACAGAAAGCACAGGGAGACAAATCTGGACTGGTGGGAACACAATTTATAGACCAAAGTGGAGCAATGCTTTATAAAAATCACTGATTGAATAACCACAAGAAAGAATGAAATTTCTCACATATTAATAACGTTCCCCCTAATGTTTTGCCCACTTACGTCAGAGTCACTGCTCAGAAACCAATGGATTTTCTCAAATCTTTTGAGCCACATGATATTCGGCTGCACGGGCTTTAGCTAAAAGTTGGAACGTCTATCATGCTAATAAAAATATCCCCATTCCAAAATTGTGCAATGGAAGTAGTCTAGCTTTCTGTTTTTCTCACTTAACCAAAGCAACTAACCTCACAGGGATAAGCAAAAAGGATGATGAGTTAATTCCCATTTAATTACTTCAAACGTTATTCTTAGTAGATACTCTTATTTGAGTAGACGCCAAGTTTATTTTAAACAGTATTTTATTTCGTCTACCAGCCAACATATTCGAGAAATTAAAGAAAATGCGCCCTTCAGCAGGATTCGAATCTGTGTTCCCATTTGCAAGAGAAACGGCCGTTTAATCCGACGTACTTTGACCGCACAGTTACAAAGAACCTCAAAATCAAGCAATCTGTTTGTCTTTAAACCTTAGTTTTTCCTGCAAAAGGAGACGCAAGTTCAAATCCTACCGGCATCCGCATTTTCTTTAATAAGTTTTCTCGAAGACGAAAGTAGATGAAATAAAATACTGCTTAAAATAAGCGGGGCGTCTACTCAAATAAAATCATCTATAAGTAATAAATATGTGTTAATATATCTGCAGCAGCAACCATTGATAGTCCTGTCGTCCAATGCAGGAGAATAAAAGCATTTAACGTTTAAAATAAAATATTTCGGATTAAAATACAAAATCCATTAATTCTTTACACACACACACACACACACACACATATATATATATATATATATATATGTGCTGCACATACATTTTTTCATATACACCAGGTGAGTGTTGAAAAATTATTGATTCAATCGACTGCCAAAAATTTGGTCCAATATCCAAACTCCGTATCAATTGAAACGTACACATACCTGTCTATGAAGAAAACAATACATTTTATCAACAGATATTTATTCCTTGTTGAGGAATTTAAAATGTTGCATATAGTAGATGAAAAAATCTGATGTAAACTTTATTTTTAACAGTAGATACTTGGAACTCTTTGAATGAATGAACAAGAAAGAACGGAATAAAGAATAGAATAGAACTGTATGATTAATAAAACTAAGACGACATAAGAAGACATACTCGAATAAATATTTGTAGAACGACCAGAGTAGAAAATAGCTTTAACAAGGCATTTGATCACAAGGTATTTTCTTTTCGATTAAAAGAAAATTTCTTTGTTAAGTAGAATTAAAAATTACCTCAAACCAAATCCTGAGTATAAAGAAAAGGAAAAAAAAATTAATGATATTTTGGAATCCGGGTATTTATGCTGGGTGCACAAATTTCGATGACAGGCAAAAATTTTCATTTCTCTTCGTTTATCTTTCAAACTTAAAGTATTTACATTCACACATAATATTTCTCTTTTTAATTTATTAGTATCATAATAAAAATCGTTAGTCATCTTGCTTTCATCTCTCCATTTACAATTTTTTCTTTCTTTTCCTACTTTTAATTGTTTCTTGTTTATTTATTCCATTCATCTAACTTTTTTCCTGTTTTTGTCTTGATATCTCTTTCTTTATTTTTTTTTCTTCCTTTTCTATTTGTTCATTTTCCAACTTTTCTAATTTTTTTCTCTCCTGCTATTCTTTCCATTTATTCTTGTATTGTCCTTTTTCCCAATTCATTTTTGTCTTGTTCAGATGTTTCTCTTTCCCTCCTTTTCTTGCCCAGCTATTTCTTTCTTTTTTCTATTATATATGCTACCATTTCTTCGTTTTCTCCTGCGACTTTTTCTTTCATTCTTTTTCTTTGGTTAGTTATTTCTCTCTTTTCCTCCGCTTTTTTCTTGTTTTTTTCTTTCTTTTCGTCTACGATCTATTTTTTCTTTTCGTTATTCTGCTATTTCATTTTTTTGTTCGCTTCTTTCTTGCTCTGATGTTTTTTTCTTTTCCATCTTTTCTTTTTTTTCTTCTGATGTTTCTCATCAGTTTCTTTTTTGTTCTGCTATTTCCTTTTTTTCATTCTTATGATATTTCTTCCTTTTTCTTGTTCTACTTTTTCATAATGAGCTCTTTATTTATTTTTCTATTTTTTATTGGCCTCCTATTTTCTTAGTTTTCTTTTGCAGTTTCTTTCTTTTTCTTCTTTTTTCTTATTATGATATTTTCTTTTCTTCATTTTCTTCTACTACATCTTTTTCTTCTTTCTTTTCCCGATGTTCTTTTTTTCTACTTTACTTATTTTTTTTATCCTACTATTTGTTCTGATGTTTCTACTTTCTCTTTTCTTTTTTCTTTTACTTGTTCATTTATTTTTCCTTTTGTCTTTTGTTCTTTTATTTATTTCTTTTCTCACATTTCTTATGTTATTTCTCTTTTCCTCCACCTTTTCTTGTTCTAATATTTCTTCCTTTACTTTACGTTCTTCTTTTCCCTGTTGTAATATTTTTTCTATTACACTTTTTATTCTTTATCTTTCTCTGTTTTTTTCTTTCTCTCTCTCTCATTTCCCTCTTTTTCTTGCCTTGCTATTTCATTCTTTTCCCCTTTCATTTTCATGTTAAAATGTTTTGTTTTTTCTCATTTTCTTATTTTTCTTATCCTGCTGTTTATTTCTTTTCCTTGTTTTCTTCTCTTTCCTGTTCTACTATTTCTTTCTTTTTCTCTTTCTGCTATTTATTTTCTTTTCTTCTTTTTTTTTTGTTCTGGTATTCCCATTTTCTCCTTTTTTCCTTTTTGTCTCATATATCTATATTTAACCCTCTTTATGCCCATTAATATTTTCTTTCTTTCTTTCTTTCTTTCTTTCTTTCTTTCTTTCTTTCTTTCTTTCTTTTTTCTTTCTGTTCTCTTGCTATTAATTTCTTTTCATTCTTTTTCTTGTCCTGTTATTTCGTTCTCCCCTACATTTTCCTCTTAGCTTTGCTTCATACATATTTTCTAATCTTTTCTCTGCTTCCTGCACTGACATTCAGTTGATTTTCATCTTAATCTTTCTAACATATTATACATATTTTATTTCTCTTTTTCTATCCTGTACATATTACAATTTTCTTTTTCTGTACTTATTCATCACCGTACATATTGTTGTTTTTTCTCTCGTATATCTATATTTAACCCTCTTTATGCCCATTACTTCTTTCTTTCTTTCTTTCTTTCTTTCTTTCTTTCTTATGCTTTCATTATATTTTCTGTTACTTTATTCGTGATATATTTCTGTTTTTTTTTTCATTTTTATCTGGCTGAAATGGCAATTTATAATGAGTATTTTTAAATGGAAGGTAAATTGTAAGCGCGTTATGTTCAAGAAAGTTTAATTCAAAAGAACAGGCGAAATACTGATAGAAACCTGTGCATCACTTTCCTGCTGCTGCTCCTGCTGTTATTTGAAAGGCAACGGCATAAAAAGACATGACTATATGTATGAGTTAATTGCATTTGTTGTCAATTGGATAGATTAGACAGTATGATCAGTGATGTCCGAAGGAAATGCATGCCACTTCGGCTGACGTGAACGACGAAAACACAGCATTGCGCATTATCTTAGAAACCTCAGTAGATCCGATTTACGAGACTTGGAATTATCGATAGGAATGTCCATGTGCATGGCAATGCATTTGTGTATGTGTGGTGGTGGGGAGCTGCGTGTAGATGAGTAGGTGGGTCTTTCACAATCTTAATATCTTTTACAAGATTAAGGAGTCCACACAAAAGACCGTCGTCGCCAGCAGCTATTGGATGATCTACAAGAGAATGTCTCTATTTTTATCAAGCTTTCTGAAATATATATATGTGTGTACTTTTGCTTTGAGTTCTACTATGCATAATGTTTTTGTGTATATATATAATACTTTTGTTCATATATCTGTGTGTACACGCAATCATATATATATGGCATACGTATATATTATCAAATATACACGTATCATTTTTACTGTCGTTTTTACTTTATTTTTCTTGTTTTATAAGTTAAATTTACAAAATGTGTTTGACGTTGTGAGTCTACGCGTTTACTTTGATAACAGGATGCAGTATATGTGTGAGCGTTGCACATGAATTTAAGCAAAAAGTTTTTGTGTGTCAGCAAGACGCAGCGTTTCTCCCTGATATGCAATAGACTGTTGTTTCTTCCCATTCATTCCTCTTTTATTAAAATGGGAGATTTTCGTTTCAGATATTTTGCTTATATTTTGCTTGTATTTTATCAGTTGTTATAAATAATATTTTTCTTGGTTTCTGTTTCAAAATGAAATTTTAACAGGCTGTTCAATTTAATTGTCCTTAAATGTTTCTGTGGTAATAAATCTTATCTGTAGTATACACTTGCTGGTAGTTGTTTTTTTTGTTTTGTTTTTTGTTTTTGTTTTTCGTGTCGATCTCTCTTTTTTTCTGCGCCATCTTGTTTTTGATAAAAAAGGAAACCTAAAGTTTACCAAGTAATATATCTAAATATAAATATTGAATATGTACGAGCCTCAGTTTTGATTTGATCTCATTGTATTTGTTATTGTTTACTATAACCTTAATAGTTTTAGAGATACTCATGATGCATTTCAAGTTGTTATTGTCTGGGATGGATCTTATGGCGGTGCTTATAGGATTGGCGGGTGTTTGATTTTTGTCTGGGTTGTTTTGTCTGTTTTTGTAGATGCTTTTCTTTTAGCGTTTAATATGAAATATTTAGGGTAATGTTTATCGAAAATGTTTATATATACTTTTTTCTTCATGCAAATATTGAGGGTTAGATATTTTGAGAGCTTTCAAATAAAACCCACGATTGTGCCTGATATTATTTTGTCGTAGTTGTGTAAGTAGAAGGGAATGAGATCGTTTACACTGACACCTGAGAAACAAACATTCAAAAAAATTAATAAAGATGAAAAATCCTGGTCCAAGCTAATACAATACCGTTCAACCCCCACCCCCCGCTAGACTTTATGGTCGAATCAAAATACATAAAGCGGGCACTCTCATGCGACTCAAATATTGAATAAAAGATTGTTTATTACTTATCAAATTATCGTAATATATTCTAATAATATCCATATCATTCTCAAGTTTATCTTCTAAGAAGAAAGCTTTTGCAAAGTATGTGACTCATAAATGAAATAACTTTCAAACTCATTTTAATAAAATGACACACTTTCCGAAGAAAACTTGAATAAAATAAAATAAAACTTGAATAAAATAATAGAAAGTTTTTAAATTTAATATAATTTTATAATTAAAACTATGAAAACTTTCTATTTTTACCCCAGAATTTCAAACCTTGTTGAGATCAATGCAAAAACGTTCTGGATATTAATGTTTATTTTAATGATTCCATGAAAATGGTTCTACTTAGCTTTATTGCTTAATGGTGTATAGCTCAATTAGTTCATAATCAAATATCTACAGTCAACAATCAAAACAAATCTATACGACGTTCATATATCGAATTAGTTGTTGTACTCTTCTTATTGGAATTTGTTACTTATAGTGAGAGTGCAAATGAAACATATATCACTAGAAACATTAGCATTTTTATTTTGATCTTGAGCTGATTAATTAGAGTTTGTATAGATTAAAGATTTTGTTCACTTGGAAGAAACTATTTAACATGATAATTCTAATATCGAAGAAGAATTTGAATGATAATTTATTGACTGATTTTGGCAAGGCAATACATTACTGAAATATTAGTGTTCTTTTGAAAGAATTTAAGGCTCAGGTGATTGCAAAGGATATAAAATCTCTTAGAAAATGCTGAATGAATATTGTTTCATTATCAGATTGGGCGGAAATAAAATCTACTCCTTGTATTTGCATGAAAACTCCATGTCAAATGAATTCAGCAAATGAATTCAGCGAATAAGGCGAAGAGAGTCGTTTATTGAGAATGAATTCTTGGATAGATTTGAGCAAGTTAGGGGGCGTCGTTTGCGTGTGACTGGCTGCCAACAATGATGGGCTAATAAGCGTTGTTCGCTCTGCATCCCTGAAGAGCTAGAGACATGACTGACCTTTCATTACACAAAGATCAAATACCGACCTGAAAGGGCGACGGCGGCTAATGCTACGACGGCGACGATAGCGGCGGAGGAGGTGGTGGTGGTGGTGGTGGCAGCTGCTACTTTTCCAACTGACTTATTCCCAGCTCCAAGTACGCTCAACGCACGCGCGTGCGGGCGTGCGAATACATGTGTGCATACTCGGTGCTATTAAGCATATACGCTTTTATGCAAACATTTATACTGGCGTAGTCTTTGACACACACACACACACACACACACACACACACACACACACACATCCTTCAGTTATGCAAACATATGCACGCGCTCGCGCATACTTTTATATTGTTTTATCTAATCTACCTCAGAGTTAAATCTTGTTTCTTTTATTTGCCTTTCTTTTAGCATTTTCTCTCTTGCTCGTTAAAGATAGCTTCTCTTTTGATGTCTCTCTATTTCTTTCCTATACATACTCTCTCTTTCACCCACTGTTATATTTCTATTGCATTTAATGTCTCATCTGCTCATTGGTGACCCCTTGTGTATCATGATATGTCAAGTCAGGTAATTAATATAAAATGAAACATTTAAAATAGATTAAATCTTGGAATACAAAATGCAAAGAAAAAATTCTTAATTCAGAAATAAATTCCCTAAAAGCATTTAAAATGAAATCACGAGAGAAAACATACTTCGTAAATTCTTTATAAATAAACTCTAGCTTACACATATCGTATGTATTTCGCATATGCACATATTGTCAGCAATGCATACATAGAAATGCAATATAGCTTATAATTTTTGTCAAATTCTACTACGAAAGATTAATGACGAAAATGAAACGGGTTAACCATGCATTTTAGGCAGAAATCGATGTAAATGAATAAAGAAGTCACATTTGTAGTTCTTCAGATATTTTCCGGTATAAACCTAAACATTTCTTTATTTCATTCAGTAAAAGTATGTAAGCGCGAATTGTTTGCGCGCGTAAAACTCCTGTCAAAGAGCAATTGTTAATGAATTGGTCTAGTATTCTGAGCTTGGTCCACATTATGTACTTTAATACTGGAGCCTTGTTTCAGACTCATATAAGCTTAATTAATTTCAACACCATTATACCTTTGCAACGTCGATTAACCGATTATATATATATATATATATATATATATATATATATATATATATATATATATATATATATATATATATATATATGCATGCGTGTGTGTGTGTATTATATATATATATATATATATATATATATATATAGGTGTGTATGTGTACAGTGTGTATATAGGTATGTATGCTATAGTTAATATTGCACTTTTTATTATCATTCTCAGAAGACTATTAATCTATTTTATTGTATTATTATATATATATATATATATATATATATATATATATA